TGTATGTCTGTGTGTGTGTGTGTGTGTATGTCTGTGTGTGTGTGTGTGTGTATGTCTGTGTGTGTGTGTGTGTGTATGTCTGTGTGTGTGTGTGTGTGTATGTCTGTGTGTGTGTGTGTGTGTGAGAGAAAGAGAAAGACACACCCTCATGGCACCGGTGCGCTCATCACTCAGAAAAGTCCCTCTTCTGTGACTCTGGAAATGGAGTATAATTTAACTTGGGGGCCATTTCATTGTTCCCTTTAAGCTTCTTAGCTCTAAAATATTCATATTTCAGGCGAGGGAGGAAGAAATCTGTGACGGCAGCAGACAGAGGCGAGAGGCAGAAGAAAGAGGATAGTGAGCAAGAGAGGTAGAGAGAAAGAGAAACTGACAGAGTGAGAAAAAAAGAGCAATGAAATAAATGAAAGAGAAACTCAGAGGAGGGGAGTGAGGAGAGGGATGCAGAGAACAGAAAGCAACACTTTAACTGATGTTCTCCTATAAACAACTTTCTCCCTGTCTGTCTTTTATTCTCTGTCTGAAGCACTTCATGGCAGACCTGTCCAACAAAAGACAAAGCCATTTCCCTGTCATCTACCCCGGCACTGGCTGCAGACAGACTGTGCAGGAAAAGACACAGTCATAATTATTATCCGGGTGTCACTGAAAGCAGTTATTTACAGATATCCTGTCATATTTCTGCTGCTTGGTGCCACTCACTGAAAGGCAGAGTTTTTTATTATTTTGGATAGGTCAATTTAAAGGCAAGAAAAATATACAGCTAATTTACACCAGCTGTATGAAATGCAGCTAGTCCTGTAAATCAAATGTAAATCAAAGGGTTGCTTCCTGTTTCCTGTAGGCGGCGCAATCACTATGACTTCATATCGGCACGCAGATGTCAGATATAAAGTTCGGAGCAGATGGGACATTGTTTATTTGAGCTATAACAACTTCCTGTTTAATGGCGAAACATCGAAATTCGCCGCGCCAACAAAAAGTCACAATTTTCTCATAATGAGGCATCATGAAGTTTGAGGTTGGTGTTGTCAACTGGCTAGGAGGAGATCAAATTGTAAAACATGACATTTCCTGTCGCCACGCGGGCGATATTGGCATGTAGACGTCTGCAATTCGCCGCGCCGCCACGGCCAGGTCCTTCAACAAAAACTCTCAAAGCTTCACAATTTAGCATCGCAAAGTTGCTGAAGGTGAGACTGACCAAATGTGATGTGGATCTGATTGATTCTCCAGAAGGAGTTTGTTAAAGAATCACGTTTTTTAAATCGCAAAAAACTGGGTCACAATTGCAGAGTGAATTCAAAATGGCTGACTTCCTGTTGGGTTTAGGGTCCATACAGTCTTTTTTTTTGTAGGTCTTGGCATATTACATGTGCCGACTGAACTTCACAGGGCAGGGGCTACTCTGTTGACCCATAAAACACCAAGCGTGATGCATGAGCAAAGTTTGATGATTGTTTAGACTCTAATAGTAAAAAATGAAGTAAAGTGTGCAGGTGCATCAATTCATCACTAACTAAAAGACTTGACAGAAAAGAAAAACACAGATTACAAGCACAGAACTGTGCGGCATGAATGGAGAAGCAGAAATGAAAAAAGGTTGTGTAATGAGTGCATCACACTGCAAGTAGAAGAAGATGCCAGAGTCAGGATCCATTTCAAACAAAGACAACAAGCATGAATGAGACTGACGCAGCTGCACAGGTCGGAGGAAGTCTCAGTGAGATCAAGACTTCTTCTTTCACGAGAGCGACCTGAGACCAAATTAAATATATACGTCACGTCGGGAGAATTCAGCCTCACGAAGCAGCGAGTTCATGTGAATATGTAAATAAACGTCCTGAGATTAAAACCGCGTTAGTGTCTGTTTCCTACAACAGCAAGTTGTCAGAAAGATCGATGCTGCTGTGCAAGCGCGCACACGGGGATTCAATGTATGTTGTTATGTTGTTTGTTTTTCATCATTTTCTCTGGTAATTAGTAATTATCCTGCCTGTCACGGTGCATGCCCTGTGCATGCGGTTGATTCCCAGCGTTGAAACGTGTGATGTACGCTCCTCTGTGAGGGTACATCTTAGTCTTGGCACTCGCGCGGCAAACGTTAATTGAACGACGCCTCAGCCCATGTGATCCAGCTGGAAGACGGTTATGTAACACTCCCAAAGCCAAACGAGAGCTGACACGAATCAAAACAAACTATACATAGAGCATTGCATTAATGAGTCACCACGTCCTCTTATAGGTAAATAAAAAGTAAGCTTCCAAAAACAAGACAGAAACACACGAGACTCTATAGGCAAGGCCTTCTGGGTATTCATTATGTCTGTTCTTGAGTCGCCAGTATCGTGCAAATGTGAAACCAACACTGTTTTTTTTTCTGAGCACGAGATGAGAGGTTTTGTTTTCTAAGGGGAGAGAGCGGAGGGAATCTGATCCACGGCTGAGCACATACCGGCCGTTAGCTCGTAGGTTAGAGGATGAGCCACGATATCAAGAGGAGGATAAACAAGCGGACAGAGAGAAGGAGTCGGTCGGAGCAGAGATGTAACATGAGGAGAGCGAGCTGTGCTGTGATGTAGGCTGTACAGTAACCAGGCAGGCTGGGCTGCTGCTCCTGCTCCTGCTGTTTTAAAAGAAAAGAAAGAAGCCAAAGCTGAATTGATATGCTAATTTGATTGAGAAGGTGTGTGGGTGGATATGGAGAAGGCTTTAAGCAGCGAGAGGGACAGAAAGAGAGAATGACAAGAAAAGAGAGGGAAAGAAAGGGAGAGTGGGAGTGAGAGATGTGACGGAGCGAGGGAAGAGAGCGAAGTGAAACAAATGGGAAGGAGTGGGACGAGAGGCGAAGCTCAGCACGGCTCTGCGCTTTGGGGTAAAGAGAGTTTACAGTCAATCGGCGAGCAGTCGTCAGTCGTCAGTTAGCTCTGCGTTAGCGGCGGCGGCTACAGGGTGGCGGCGCCAGCCTCCACCGGCGCCTGCTGACACGTTGACGTGTTTGTGAATCAGCACTCACAGTACATTTTGAAAAAAGAAAATAATCATGTTGTCCATAAAATCTAAGACATTTATGCTGTTAAAGTATAAATCCAGCTCATTACAACATGGTTGTTTGTTCTGTTAAGTGCTGAGATCAAGGAAAACGGAGACACTGTTGAAGCAAAGTCCAACAGGACGGGAAACACAAACAGACCATCAGACAGAGTCTTCTAATTTTTTTATTTAAGATTGTCTTATATTAGAACATGCTCACACTCAATAAACACTGGACAGACAATAGACGAATCACCCAGTACACAGTGATATACAAAACTCCCAAGAGCAAGGTATCAAAAGATAAACAGGTGAGACAGTTAGACTGTCCCCGTCCACCAGGAGAACCACACAAAACAAAACTTAAGTTAAAGTATCAGTACATTACACAGAATAAGACGGAGCTTACACAGAGTAGAGATACAACATAGCAGCAAGGCTAATAGATCGTGTGGTTAGGTCTCACTGAGCATTGTCAAACTTGGCTTCCATCTTAGCAATAGAAAGCATCTCGTTGAGCCGCCTCTTCAAGCACTGAGACTTCCAGTTTAGTAATACTAATTTTTTAGCTTTTAAAATCCTGCTTTTGATGGGAGGGAAGGGCGATAAGACAGATTTTAAACCAACTTTATTAGGAAAGAAAAACCAAAATTGAGCTGGTAATAATCCAGTGCCCAACAGCAAAGGTTGTGCACATAACTACGGTAAGTATGGCAGGTCAAAATTCAACCATTTGATCTGTAAACTGCTGCAGTGATACCAGCGCCTGAACCTCTCCATGGTGAAGTTTCTGTGGTGAATTTGTCGGCAGCCAGATCTCTTCTGTATTCCCCTCATGTGTGGCTTATTAAATTCATTATGATAGCAAACACAGCAAGGTCACAAGTAAACAGCAAAGGTGTTTGAACTTGTGGTCTGGACAAGTTGTTTGTGTTTTGTCAGAGGGACTCTGTAGACCGCTACACATTAGTTCTCAGTGGGGATTTGATGGCTGACCATATTCAGTTTAAAAAATAAAAAAAAGATTCATAACAATGTGAGTAAATCAAAATATTTAAACCTCTGTAAAAAGGTTTCTAATCAGTCGCGTGGTGTGGTGCAGGAGGGAGACTTGACTGCTGACAGTCGGTCCAGCCCATCAGGGTGCAGGATGACCTGAGGTTAGTGCGAGGAGATAATTGGGACAAGCTGTCACTGAGTCTTTGTAATTGAGGATGTGTCATCATCCTTATTGTTACATAACGAGTATGTTGGGATTTTAATTTAGAATAGATTATCTTTTCTCTGTTAAGTACTTTCGAGATGTTTTTCAAACAAACTAATGAATATTATTTTTAAAAAGCTTTGGTTTTATTAATTATAATACGGTTCTTTTTATTTGGTCGTCAGGATTTAAAAGCAAATCTGCAATCCTCCGTTGTTTCCATCATGACATGGTATTTTAAAATATGATGTAAAGATTCTCAAGACATTTGAGAATTTTAAGACATCTGCCGTGTGCTTTGAAACACTACATGGCCAAAAGTATGTGGACAACCAAACAAAGCGTGTGGACACCCAAGTGTATGACCGTTGAACATGTAATGCCAAAACCACGAGCGTTCATATGACTTTTCTAAAGTATATTTTTTTGGGCTTTTATGCCTTTAATGGACAGCACAGTGGAGAGTGACAGGAAACGGGGAGGCAGAGAGAGGGGGAATGACATGCAGTGAAAGGCCGTCCGATGCGGGATTCGAACCGGGGCCGACTGCAGCGAGGACTGTAGCCTCTACACATGGGGCGCCTGCTTAAACCACTACGCTACACGACGCCCCCGTTCATATGACTTTTCCACCAGAATTTGGAACCTGTGAGCATTAGTGAGGTCGGCCACTGGTCACCGTCGGCGGTCCAGTTCATCCCAGATGTTTTGGATGGCGATGAGGTCGTGAGTTAACTCCTCTCTGCTTCGCTCTGATTCTCAGAAACAGCCGGGACCAGAGGGCACGCTGAGGACAGTTGTCATCCAGGAAAGGAGGCTCCACGTCGGTGTCCACAATGGCTGGTGTTTCCTCGACAAGCCCCAAGTGGTGGTGCTGGAGCTGGTAGCCTCGGGGGCCAGAGGGCGGGCAGACAGCACCTCCAGACAGAGCACCCTGGTCAAAGACAGGTGAGCAGAGGAAACACGTGTATATGTCTGCAGTGGAGCTGTTGCTGTAGGCTGCAGGAGATGCTGGAACATCATTCTGTTGACAGATGAAATCCACAGATGTGCAAAAATCTTTGTACATCTTTGCGAGTGCTTATTTTTTTCATCAGCCTCTCCAGGTGCAGGTCCCTCCTCTGACAGACAGGTGACTGAAAGTTTATCTAGTAAAGTCAGCACAAACTGTATTTTTCCGAAAAAGCGAGGTTGCTGTGAGTTTCATTTTCATACGTCTGGAGAAAGTGAATCATTTCACAATCGAACGTCCAAAACGCTGCGATGGCGCCGGATGTTTGATTGTCGGAAACGGTATGGACTTGATATGGACTAAAGAACTAACCTGGACTAAATGCTTCTAGTCATGACGCACTTACAGGTATTTAACCACACTAGACTAAATAAGACTATATTTTTAGGAAGCCACTGATCTGAGTTTTCTCCACAACTCTGGTTGCGATCCCCAAACTCAGGGAACCGGTCGATACCGAGTACCGATCCACATTATGTTCCCAAATTTAAAATCTGTAAAGCTCTCTGTGTGGAATTGATTGAAATCATCCTTCTACATGTGAGGTAATATGAGGCTGTGCGCACACATCCATTCTTAGTCATAATGTGGATGCGTCATGCCAATACCCGATCTGCTTCATCAGATCAGTGTCTCTACTATCATCTGTCAAAAGAAATCGTCCAGAAATACACATAATAATACTACTACTAATAATAATAATAATTACACATAAAAATATAATAAAATGTTTACATAATTTGTTGCTTTTTGTTGTTTTGTGGGATTAGATGCATTGTGTTTTTATTTTGTTTGTGACCTTGCTCAGAGAGATAAGAGCAACCGTGTCCTAACCCAACCCCAGCCTCACAATTCACACAGCAGCGCCGTTGAGGCTTCCACCCTCATAAAAACAGCCTGGCAGTGCGTTCCAGTGCATGTGGGAGCTCCTCATAAGCAATCAAGGAGATATGAGTCACGCTGCTTTTACCCCTGGGTTTTGTATTGAGACACCATGACACTCAGTGCTCATCTTGTCCGAGCCTTTCTGCGGATGTGAGGTCAGCAGCGTCGGCCTGAGATCAGCAGTAAAACACTCGGGTGTCAGTTAAAAGCAAAGGTCGGAGAGGTGCCGCTACCTGAAGCTGAATTTCATCCTGCCTTTAACATTCATTACTGATTTTAATTACAGGGATGAGAACCATTCAACATAATGAGTATACTTTCATATATTGAATTTTCCATATATGAAATACATTTCTGCATGGGAGGTATCCACAAATTCAAGTCTTCAGTTTTGGGATCTTGGGGGGGGGGGGGCAGCGCTGCATTTTGTTAATGAATAGGTGCTGAGTAAAAAAACAATCAGATCCTCTCACATACTTTGTTTTTTCTAAGTTAACAGCAGCTGTCACAAACACCCCAGTGCACCCCGTTAAATCACTGGACGTATTCGTTATCATTAATGTTGTGAGGGAACGAACCTCTGACCACGTTGTGAGCGGTGCACGTAAACAACAGCTAGCAGTTTCAATTAATGAGTTGTCAGGGAGCATCAGTGAGCCACTGAGCAGAACTGCTTTGGGTTAAAAAAAAATGTTTAGTGTCTGTTTGGGTGACACTCTGCAGGTCTATCACGCCTCTGACTGCAGTTCTTTTTCCTGTGGGTGATGAGGAGAGTCTGTGCAAATATATCACAAGGAACCGTTCAAGCAGAGCTGTGATACAGATTACAGTTCCTCATTCGGTAGAGTTACAGAATGATATAGTGATGTAGTGAGGAAAAGAGATCTGGGGGAAGCTCTCGGCTGCTGTGACAGAAATTAGGAGATTTAGCATTTTTAAAGTGCTGCTGTTTCTCATTTTCATATTGTACAGTCATATGTTTGACTGGACTGCAACAGCGGGGGCCAGCCCTATAATTGTGAATGTGACTGACTGACTGACTGATGATGTTTCCACCACTGGTCAGCCTCAGTCTACCGAGCCGCTCTGGTTTCCCGGCTGCTCGGGAACTGCAGGGAAGAGGAGGAGCACTTCCAATACACTGAGCCTCGCCTCCGTTACAGCAGATAAACTACTTTGATTCCATGTGTCATTATCGCTAAAGGAGACAGATGAAGAACTAAACACGAGACACAGCGAGCAAAGAGAGCAGGAGAGAGGGAGGGAGGGAGAGAGAGAGAGAGAAGTCATCGCTAACGAGGCTTCGTACTAACGACTGTGAGTTAGACATAAAGACCTGCCTCTAATAAAAGTCAGTGACGTTCTGGAGTTGAAGTAAATAAAGACTAAACTATTGTGGATCCAGATGGAGGCTGTGCTGTGTGTCAGAGACTAAATAAGAAAGATGAATAAAGTCAGCTCGGTGGTTCACCTGGTGGAGCACGTGACATCCTGGCAGCCGGGGTTCGAGTCCGATCTGTGGCCCTTTGCTGCGTGTCATCCTCTCTCTCTCTCTCTCTCTCTCTCTCTCTCTCTCTCTCTATGACTGTAATAAAGGCAAAAGTCACAAAAAATAACTTAAAAAAAGACAGATATTGTGTCTCTTCTACCTTTCTCTCTGAGTGATCATGTTACAGTAAATCCAGCTGAAATCACGGCTCAGTCTTTGTCTTTTATCTGTTGTTGTGTTTGGTGATTTTTTCAGACAACGTCACGGTTATAAAATCAGGATTTGACCAGAGGCGGTCCAGACATATACCAGGTTTAAACGTGGCGTTGTTGATAGTTCTCTTTGCTCTAAATTCGTCTTTACTTCATAACGTCCACCATGAGGACTGTGAAGAGATGTGTTTGTGCTGACAGCACTATCTGCAGGATACCTGAGTGGTTCAAAGCATAACGGTGTGATATTCCTCTCTGCGTCAGGGTGTTTATGTGAGTTTGATCAGGTGAGACATTTTGCAGAGTTTCTTGAAATAATGATGCAAAGGATTTTTGGATAAAAGGATCAGTCTGATCAATAAAGGCAAAAAAAAAAAAAGATTAAAAAAACTGAATGGCTGGTGAAAGATGATCCTCTTCTCAGTGTGAGTCTGAATCAGAATGTATGGTGTTTGCTACTTGAAATGAGACAGTAGCTGATGTGGCGATTATGTGGATGATTACGTCGGCGTCTCCTTATAAGAACAGAGTGCACAAACATGCAAATGCATAATCAACACAATCACATGCTAACTGACAATCTGTGCTCAATTACTCTATTATATGAACAACAATAATCGTCATTATGATCCAAATAATTCCTTCCGTCGTATCGTATGTTAAGCATTTTCCTGTTTTGATGCAAGAGGGAAGAGCTTTAGTTTGATAACACCAGTGAAGGCAATAATTATGATGTGTTCCGTTTTTTTTTTTTTTTGGTGCTGCCAGTGAGAGCTGACAGTCTGTCTTGCTTGTGTTATGCCTGGTGCTTCCAACAGCAGGGGAAGAGGGAGAGAAAAAAATAGAAAAAAAAATCTGAAGTGCTCGCCTGTTCCATTTCTCCAGAGAGTCCGCGAAGCGAAAAAAGAAAAAAGGCGCTCGGCCCCACCTCGTGACACGCCGGCGCTCCACAGTATGCTCCCGCCTGTGGTGTATGCAAACTGTGAATGACGAATGCGGAGAAGTGCTGTTCCACTGCTCACGCAGGAGGCCGGTGTTTGCCAGGGAACATTTAGCCAGTGATTTCTAAACCCTCCAACACATCGATTTCTCCTCCGTTTAATAACAAGTAAAACTATGAAAACACAGACAGGGGCCGTCAGCATTTTCGTAATCTGTATATGTGTTTCCCATCATAGCTCCTTCACTCATCCTTCACTCCTTCATTGTGTGTGTGTGTGTGTGTGTGTGTGTGTGTGTGTGTGTGTGTGTGTGTGTCTTTACTCTCTCCTCAGCTCTGCAGCGTCGCCCCTCCCTCAGGTGTTGGGCCTTCGCAGCAGCCTGCAGCTCAAGATGACCAATCATCAGGCTTTGGCAGTTGTCTTCCAGCTGGAGTACGTCTTCTCTGCTCCGGTTGGGCGAGAGACTATGGTAAGAGAGATGCAGAAGAACACACACACTCACACACACTCTATTTGGTAATGTGGAGGTTCATCTGTCCCTTTATTTATTTATTTTTTGGGGGGGTCTTTCAATGAGACAGCATCTTACCTCGCTCTTGAAATGTGGTTTGTCTTGGAGCATGTCGTCTTAACTGACAGGGATCGCAGGCTTTTGCTGTTGCTGCTTGTCTCTCGCCACCTCTTCATGTTCTGCTTGCAGGAAACTTAAACCCCAGTTTCAGGACAGAGGGTTTACAGATTGGAAAGTCGCCTGAGGCAAATTTGTGATTTCCGGCCATATAAATAACGTGACTTGACTTGATGCCAAGCTTCGAAATGTTGCCATCCTGGTGATGGATGATGGGTAATATCATTCACTCCACAGCTTTTATTTCTTTAAAAAAAACATGTGGATCCTGCCACTGCTGAAATGCAGCCTGCACAGGCACCGATTTTCATGAATGTTGAAAGGATTTCTGGGAAATGTGGGGAATTTAAATATGTGCTCTGAGGTTGCTCTCTGTTTTTGCACCCCACAGCAAGATGCTGCTATTATTTTTTTTTTTACAAGCATCAACCAAGGCCGAAAAATGAAGCCAATGCTGAAGAACCAGAAGCTGCAGTTCCTCTAACGGCCACTAGAGTCTGGCTCCAACAGTGAGTCAGTCCCCATAGACTCCCATGTTAAAATGTCCAACTTTACAGCAGAAATAACATGTTTACAGCCTGGTACAAAAACTGTTTTGGTCTCTAGAGCTAATTTCCTCCTCCATGACACCTGTTTATATAACTCACATGTTTATATAACAATATATCTATAAACAGTCAAACAGTCAAAGGTTAATATCTATATCAAAAATCAGACAATACATATCCAGTCAGAGGTCGGGCTCTGTCAGGTACCACTTTCAATCAGTACCTGACTTTGAGGAACACAATCCTTTTTGTATTCCTTTATCAAAATATGTCAAGCTTCTGAAATGTGTCTCTGTTTAATATTGTGTCAACACAAGCAGCCGGAACTTTGCCCTAAATAAAAACTAGTAAGAAAACTAGTAAGGCTATGATTTAAATTAGGAAACATCTGATAAAAGAATAAGTAAACAAAAAGCTCAACAAGCTTTCTTTAGTTCTCAACAGTTTTCGGTTGAACCCCCCGCCCCCCAGTCTAAGGATTTTTGCAGGTCTCTTTTTAATTCACATCAACGTTCAGTTAGAGCCCGTGTAATCTCCTCTCACTTTGCAGCTGACTGTAATAGATGATGGTGAAAAGTATGTAATCAGTGTTTTGGGCCGCCTGTAATTTAAAGTTGACCGAGCCATTATGCTGATTTGTCGATGCAATAGGCTGAAATCAAAAACTGGAACAATGGTCGGTCATTTTTGTTCAGCGCTAATTTCTAAAAGGAGGATTGAATTTAAGTTGCCTATTTTTTTTTTGAGGAACATAAAATACATCATATAATGTATAACATAAAATCTCTCCTAGACATTTTTAATTAGTTCAGAGTTGTGTGTAATGATGTAAAAGGTCTTTTAGAGGCAGAAGCTTTTGCTGCTGTGATTGGTTAAAATAAAAAATAACAACAACACCGCAAATCTTCAGCTTTATGAATCCATAAAATATTGTTAGTTATTAGTTGAATCCCAATTTGGAGTCCCATCATATCTTCCCTCTGTCCATATGAGTTACACAGAGCAGCAGCCGGCACCTGTTGTAGGACGACACAGTCAACACGTCCCCTGGGAAGTAATTTCCGAATTCAAGCCGCACCACTCAACAACCGCTCATGGCGTGGAATACCACAGAAAGACTGTGGTGATTATGTGTGTGGGTGAGCCTTCAACACTTAATGCATGCCAAGGCTGGGCTCTCATTGTGTTACTGCGTGTCTTTTATACAAGCAGGGGTCACGAGATCACCAATTAAAAGCAGCAGAATAAACAACCAGCCACTCGGTCATCGGAGCGCCGTGCTACATTTGCATTTATGTATTAATTCACCCATTCCTATCTCAGCAACAGCATGACATAGTCTGTTGTAAATGGACAGTTTCCCCCCTTTTCTTTTAACCATGGATGAGAGTGATTGTTCCTGTTGACACATGATATATATATATATATATATATATTGTTTAGGTGGAAAACAGCGTTTTTATAAAAGAGCTTGAAACATCACAGCTCAAGTGACAAATAGCTCACTATCATCACCATCTTTGTTGCTTTACTGTTTCATTTTCACTTTTATGTGACCACACCACCAGCTTTTTCCTGACGTGTCATGATCTGAATAATCACCAAACAGTGTGACTTTCACAACCAAGGAATTGTACGCCTGTTGTCTGGAAGATGTAGTAAACACTGCTCATGGTTTGTTTGTCTCTGTGTTTCAATTATGATAGTTTGCGGCTTTTCAGAATAGAAAAAGAGATGCAGGAAAAAAAACAAGGCTGTTAGTGTTGTGTCAAAGTTCCAGCATCGCTAATGACTGTGTGAGCAGCTGAGGTCGATGGGAATGGCCTTAATTTTATTTTGCATCTATTTGATCATAAACAAAGTATTGGACAAATTGAAATCTTGACCTGGTGATGGCGCTAGATGAAAAGTCAGAGGATCACTGAACTGGTTACAACTGAACATGAATGTCTGTCCCAGACATTATGTCAGTTCAGGCAATAGTTGATGCATTTCACTCAGAATCACATATATTGTGAGCGACCTGATGGCCGAATGGTTAGAGTTCAAATCCCCTGAGCAGCGAGTCCTCAAGTCGACTCCCGGCTGCCCAGATCATTCGCTGCGTCTCCTTCCGCTACTCTCTCCCTGGATTTCCTGTCTATCTCATAGACTGTAACTTAGTATGGACGTTGCCTCTGTGACATCACCAACAGGTTTCTGAAGAGCGGTTTTGAAGCTCAGAGTGAGCTGCTTCACTGTCGCCATCTTGGCAGCATCTGAGTCCGCCCCCTAACTCCCAGCTAATCCAAAAATGGTCAAAGAGGAGGGACGTATGTGTAGCTGAGACTTCGGTGAGTGCCAGTTTGTGTCAATCATACACTTACCCACCTGTCACTCAAAGAGGCCACGCCCCTCAATCCTCCATAACTTTAGTCCTTAATAAAATGTAAACAGGTGAGTTATATAAACAGGTGTCATGAAGGAGGAAATTAGCTCTAGAGACCAAAACAGTTTTTGTACCAGGCTGTAAACATGTTTATTTCTGCTGTAAAGTTGGACATTTTAACATGGGAGTCTATGGGGACTGACTCACTGTTGGAGCCAGACTCTAGTGGCCATTAGAGGAACTGCAGCTTCTGGTTCTTCTGGTTCTGGTGGCTAAAAATTACATGACTGCATGTTTTTATTGAGACCATTTATTTCAGTCGTTAGTTTGGAAATGAATTATGAGAATATACAGAGTGTTTGCTGTTCTCGTGTTTGACTAGCGTTTTACTCTGATGTACTGTAAACTCAAAAGGAATAAGGTCGTCACATCACAAATCCGTCTCTCTCCAACCCAGCCGGTCGAGGCAGATGGCCGCCCTCCCTGAATCCGGTTCTGCTCGAGGTTTCTGCCTCTTAAAAGGAAGTTTTTCCTCGCCACTGTCGCCAGGTGTTCGCTGATGCCGGGAATTGTTGGGTCTCTGTAATCAATGTTGTGAAGAGTACGATCTAGACCTGCTCTGTATGAAAAGCGCCTGGATATAACTTGTGTTGTGATTTGGAGCTGTACATATAAAACTTGACTTGACATACTCTTTGTGAAGTAGCTGTTTTTTACAGCGATAAAAAAAAGATTCTGGTTGTCATTGTGGAGAAGGAAGTTGTAAAGCTGAAGTAGTATGTGGCGGAAGAGATTAATAAACAGGCTACAGACAATAAAACATTACATTTACAGGCAGCACACAGGTCCAGTTTATGGTGTGTGTTATTACACCGTCTATCAGCGCCATGAAACTGAGCAAATGTGTCTCAGCCATTGTTCAGAGCTTGATTCAGGTTTCTGTTGCACTCTGCCAGTCTCTGCAAGGGAAAAAGAAGGAATAGGAAAACTAACCTTATATCCTTGACATCAACTGTGGAAGTTCATGTTCCCCAGAGGATGGAGCCTCGTGTTTTTGACGACTCCCTGATCCTTTTTTCCTCTTTTGCCCCCGTTGGAACAAACTTTCCACTTGTACACAGAAAATGTGAACATGTAAATGGGCAGACTGCCATAAAGTTAGGTCAGAGGAGGAATGCTTTCGATTTTGGACACTTTCCTATCACACCTACCAGCCCTATAGTCCAAAATATTCACTTTGCACGCAGGATATCTCGAAATGTATGACGCAGATTGCCTTGAATTTTACTGATGCTCCAATGGGATTCTTGCCTTTTATTGAAAAAAGTTCACCCGGGTTGAAAATTTCTAATAAAGCCGATAGAACCGTCAAACTGATGTCTGTCATCATCCCAGAATAGCAAAGGCAAAAACTGTTGTGTGGGTGACAGAAAGAAAAAAAGATCTCCTACCACACTCTACTTCACCACCTTCGCCTTCTCTGGCATGACTGTTTGATGAGGTGAGAGATATTTAGCAGGTGGAGAGTAATTTCTGTCTGTGTGTGGGAGTGGAGTGTGTGTGTGTGTGTGTGTGTGTGCTGATGTGTGCATATGTTATTTGTGAGTGTTAATCCAGAGCCTGATCTGTCTCGGGTGTTGACTGATAAAGGTTTGATACTAGCAGCAGCAGCAGCAGTCAGCTGACTGCTAAAACTTGAGCGGGATGGGACTTTGTACAGTCTACACTCCTGCACTCTATCACAGCTGGCAGAGATGTGATGCTTTTGAGGTGTTATATCTGTGTTTAGCTAAGGTGCGCCTTCAGGGCAGGCAGCTGTACACTGTCAACAGCACTTCACACCACTTGACACCACTCGTGAACCATAAATGTGAAGGTTCATGTCTGATTGCTGCCACAACCTCCAAGACTTTTCAGGCCCTTGT